GAAATGTAGTTTCATCATCTGGAAGGCTTTAAGGGCTACAGAGATCTAATGTCATCAAGAAAGCTTTACTGATAAATGCTTGTGTTCATGAAGGCAATTATATTCTCTTTGGGTAGCATTTTCAGTGTTCATTGCTGCAACTTGCTATTAGAAATCACCCCAGTACCTTTCCTGTGCCTGCTTTTAACAAGGCTGAAAGTCAAGATGCTGAAATTCAAGATACTGGAAGCTGGTTTGCAAACTACTATTTTTTTCAGCTTTCTGATGTGTAACGAGATGTCCCAGAACAAGGCTTATTGTTCCAATTCTTTTTCATCTGTTTTTAGTTTTTGACATATCAGATGTATTAAGTGAATCACAGAATCACAAAATAAGAAGAATAAAGAAAATGAGGAAGACTTTTAGATGTTCCTTTCCCCCCCCCTTTTAAATGGATAAATAACCTTCTAGAGCTTTAGCAAGTATGTGATAGATAAACCACCTCCCAAAATTCCAGCACTGGAGTTTTCCCGTTGTTTTGCCTTGTGATCTTGCAGTCTGAACATCATAAATGTGACTAATGGAGGTGACAGTGGGTGTACAAACAGTGTAGGAAACTGTGGGTAATGGATTATTATTTACCATAGTAATTCTGCTTCTTTACCAGATACACCTTCAGTTTATGGCATGATTAGAGTCCAAATACCTTCATATATATTTGTGTCTTCAAGTATGCACTCTTAGCTGATGTTTTCTTGTGGCTTCTTCGCCAGTGTTCTGATATGCAGAAGACTTCTCTCCCTTCCTTTCAGTTGTTAGACCCTTCTCTTGTTCTCATGTGCACTTAACTGAAAACACAGTTTTGCAATTCCCTGCCCTCCAGCTGTTATCTTTCTTCAGCTTTCTTTCCTACAACTTCTCACTATCTCCTCCCACAGCTGCTTTCACCCCTCTCCATGCCTGCAGCCTCACTGCGACTGCTGAAATCTCCCCTTTCAACCCGGATCTGCTGCAATCCTGCTGCAGATCTGGCACATCAAGGGATCCTCCCATCTGGTTTACTCCCCTCCTTTGTTTCTAAGAAGAGGTGACTGCAGAGTCGTTTTCCTCCCCACCTTTGCATGAAGGGCTTAAGATGAACTTCCAAGCTGCAACCTAAGCCAATTTAATAATAAGCTGGTGCTGCAAGAGATAGTCCTAGTCCTCTGTCTTCGCTCTGCGCCCATCTCTCGAGATGGTAACTGAATGGGTGATAACTTCTTTGTTTTATTCAATTTTTATTCCTCAGATGGATTTTTCATACCTGATTTAAGGTGTAGTTGCACAAGAGCTGTGCCTAATGCAGAGGGAGTGGTGACAGCCTTTGGGGCTGGAAGGTGGGGTGGGGGTGAGTTTGCCCCTTTTTCTCACCTACTCTGTAGCAGTGTGAAAAGTATCTCTTAAAGCAAGAAGTAGGGAGATAAATGGCTGGCTGCAGATTTTTCCAGAAGAAAAACTCATCGGTTCCTTGTGGCTGCAGTGGAAGTACCGAGATATGGACAACCTGGACGAGATTATAGAAGGGGGTGGAAAGGGAGGGGAATTTCTTTTCACTGTTGCTTGTCCAAAAGCAGTCTACAGTAACTTACATTCTGTTTATGGCTTTGGTGGTCTTTCGTTAAGGCTTCAAAGCAAAGGCAAATGCAGAAAAAAAGGTGTAATTTGAGTTGATTGCTGATTTTTTTAACTACCAGCCTAAACAAAGTTAAGGCTGCATAAACAATTGCTTTTCACAATAGGAATGTAGATGGGTTTTGTTGATATATTAGCAGTTATAATATGATTCAAGTTAGTAGTTATACATTTTTACTGTATTTCTGTTAGTAAATGAAAACACTGTTGACGTTAGAAAATGTAGTAGTACGTACTGAACCTTTCCTGCTTTTGAAATATCTTTTCCATTGGGCCTTTTAGGACTTAGCATACTTTTCCCTTGCTTGTCACTGTTCAAGGGCATGTTTCCTCTAGTACAGAATCCCTCAGATTAATTAATGTGTTAAGGGCATTTTAAAGAAAACCTATTACATTCCTTACTACCTTTTAAAATAGAATTAAGTCAGTTGCCCCAATCCAGGAAAATGTGAGCTTATCTTGAATATAAATTTACTGCAGTGGTAAATAGCTCTGTCGGTGGGTGTTTCTTTATGTGGGCTCACATGCTTTTCGCTTTAATTAAGGAGACTAATTTTACTTTTGAAGGATTGTAAATTTCACCAGACAGGACAGTGAGAGTTGGCATTAAGGTATGCTAATTATTATTCTATTTGGCAAAGAGAATTGCTTAATTAAAATTTTGTCACATTAAAGCTATATGCTCACATCTGAAATGTTTGCAGCCTTTGTGCAAGTAGTATTCTTTACATTAAATAACTGCTTTTATGAACAATTTCTTAAATTACATGATATTATATTCTGGTTTTTTTCCGCTCGAAATATAAAACATTTGTGTATGCCATTAGATCAATGACAACAGTTAACTATAGGGAAAAAAACCTCAGTTTGGCCATCTCAGTGTGAGCTGTTGCATTGTTGGGTGTGTAAAACATTCATCATGGAATTTCCATGTTTTTTAATGAAAAAGCAGTGTCACCTTTGGCATTTCTGGGTTAGCCAGCATGATGACTTTTATTCCTTTAAGACAATAATTTAACCAAAACAGTGGATAAGAATCATTTGGGCGTTACCACCTTCTTCCTCTGGAATTCTGTAGCACATTGTATAGAAATTTTAACTGTATGGGTTTATTTAAGGAATCTACCTCTTCCTTTAATAACACACTCTCAGAGGATGACATCACTGTGAAAAGGGGCAGCTTTTGTAAAGGAAGAAGGAGTCTTGAAATGGAAAAACATACTCATCATTCCAAATTGCTCTAAAGGTCGGCAGCTGTATGGCTGGAACACTCAACCTTTCTACCGTGACAATCCTATCTCCCTTCTCAGCAGTAGCTCTCAGTTCTGCAAAGTTATTGAAAATCAGGGCAAAATCAAACAGCAAGAAAGCCAGCAGCCCGCTCATTAAGCTTTCACATGTCTCTTCGTATTCATTTTTCCAAAGCTTTTTATGTTATTCTGAGATGACTTTTAAGGCAAGCTAACTAATGTGGGAATGTGAATGTTAGCTAGTGTTTATAATTTCTTACTAAAATCTGTTCAGTGATGTTATTCTGGGGTTATTTTAATGAGACTTAGACATAAAATATGTCTTGGCTGACATTACTGAACTCTATCATACCAAATCATAATTCCTATATAATGCAGTGATGTCTTTTGGAAGGCATCCTAATTCAATCTCTTAATCTTTAGCATTACAATAATAAAATTGCACATTGCTTGTTTAATTACCAGTAAGACTGTGGACTAAAGATAGAACTATCTGTACGTTTTTATTCTGCTGTGTCCATGCAAAGTATAAGTTTAAATCAGGGTTTTTCTGGAGCTGCCAGTCACAAGATATGTAGTGCAGACAGTACCCAAATTTTACGCAGCTGCCTGCATAAATCAGCTATAGGAAGAGAAGTAGGAGTTTTTAAAAACCTTTATGTTTTGGCAGCAGAACTGCAGTCTTGTTATATTAGGTGTCACATCTAGGCTGCATTAAAACAAAATTGGAAAGTAGAGAAGAAGGAATGCCACCCCTGGTTTAAGATGATGGCATATGGCAACTTGTAGACATCACATTGCACTCTGCTGTCTGTGGCTGGTCCCCCTTTCTGTGAGTCTTCAATGTCAGGAAAAGGTGAGTGATTCAATTTCCAAGCAGTTCAAAGCAGGATGGAGTTTGTCATCTTTTGTGGCAAAGCCATAATGGAGAAGCTTGGGAGGAATCTGAAATAGGCTTGATGCTGCACAGTTACATAAAAGTAAAAAACAAAAATGAGAAATGTGAAAGCTCAGTTTAAAGCTATCTGTATCATACTGATGCTTTAGATACCTCCAGAGAATACCTTCCTTCTCCAGGAAGCCCTCCCTGCCCCAACATTTGCTGTTTCCTCCTTGTTCTCAGCCAGTCCTATAGAGATAGGTTAGGACCACATAAACATACATCAGTATTGACCATCAGAATATGAATGATATTTACACTGAGCGTAAAATGAAACCTCTCACAGCTTTCTCTGGCCAAGCCAGGATTCCATGCTCTCCAGTTTATGCGCTGGCTGGGGCAAAAATTACAGCAATAGATGCAAACATGAGATAACTGCGTGTGTTAGAACAGAAGCTACAGCACAGTCTCCAAAGTAAATCTCCATTATAATATAACTTTTCCCTCAGACTTCTGATCACTTTATCCTCCCCAATATTTAATCCTTCCCACTTTGCCCTGGCAATGGTAGATATTTGTTGTCTAATCTGAGGTGCTCTTTAGAAATGCTCCAATTTTTTTTATTGTTTTCAATTTTACTTGGTTCAAAAAAAAAAAAAAAAAGCTTTAATTTGGCAAACTGAACATATGTGGGAGAGCTGAAGCAACTGCCTTGAAAATGCTGGCTGATATTTGAATCACAGAGATGAAATTCTAGTATATAAGTGTGCTGAAGACACAAGGCAGGGAAACAGGTTGAGTCACGTCAAGGTCTTCTTCTGAGGTTACCATGGGGAATATGTGTGATCCAGATAGTTCTACAGATAAAAAGCTGGGAGTCATATTGCTTGGCTACTGCCCTCAGATGATGTCTAAACTACATTATTATTTTGAATGGCCTATGTTAAGGGAGATATTCATGCATCTTCACACACCTGCCAAAGAAAACTTCTCCATGTATTCACAAAACAAGAAATACAGTGGAGCTACTCTGAAAACATGGTCCATTTAACTTGGAGGGGGCATGGAATAATAGAAGGTGGGTTTATTTTGCAAGGTGCGTTTTGTGGTGGAAGTGAGGGAACACCAGTGGCAGCTGCACAGCCTGGAAGGAAGATGAGGGATGAGAATATCCATGTTCCCTAAGAGGTGCCTGATGTGACTCTGTGCCTGCGGTCAGGATGTTCACAGTGCCTGCCAGGATCAGCTCATCTTCCAGCCAAACACACATCGCAGAGAAGGATCCCTCCAAATGTCAGTGGCAATTAAAGCCATCTGCAGAGAAAAGGAAGATGCAGCACTTTAAGCAACTGAAATGGTGGACTAAAAGCACCTGGCATTTTTATCTCTACTAGCCTGACACAGAAAGTCTGGTCTTGGCTATGAGGGTTGGGGAAGCTCAGTAAAAACATCTGTGAGAGCAACCTCTGCAGCAAAAAGCAGGTTTGCATGGTCTTTTTCCCCTCTGTGTAAGTTTGGGGGCAGAGAATCCACAAGTAGGATGCTGCTTCATGTTCTGTGGGTGGGAAGCCACAATTCAGGGCCCCCACCTTCAGCACTCAAATGTAAGTAACAGATCTGCGACCAGATAAAAATAGAAGCACGCTAAAAAGTTGGCCAGAGTGTCTCCTGAGTCGCAGTGAATGTCTCAGGATTGCAGTTATGGCTTTTAACCAAAATTAGTTTAATTTTCCTGAAGGGCTGCCTTTATTTACACCATTTGAAATGGATGTAGATTTTGGAACTGAAGCACATCTAAATGGTAAACATAATTATCTCCAAGTCTCCGTTTCCAAAAAGTTGTTAAGGGTGAAACACAACTTCATAGGGAAGCAAGTCAAAGCTATGGGAAATATTTTAATGATATTGGCTGAGAAAAAAAGCTTTCTTTGAAGAGAATTAAAGGAACTTCTCTGTTAAATGACTGGAGGTGCAAATTTACCTCATTATCAGTGCTGTAGGAAATTACCTGAAATGCCAAAGTTTTCTGATATTTATTGCAGAATTTTAGATTATTTTCATTCCAAGGCATATTTTCAAATCAAGTAAGAATCTTGGGAGTTTGCTGTCTCTGGGGTCAGAAGTCCTCTGGAGATATGATGCACTCTTTGCAAACCCTACAAGAACTGCCCTTGTAGCATCTGTTAAACTCAAAAGTTACACCCAAAAGCTCCAGATGCCTAAATCAATGTTTAGGGTACTATAGGAAGGTAACTGTGTAAATGAGATCCAAAACACTCCCTGGTTAACAGCTGCTTGAACTCAATAGACTGTTTTCCTGTCTTCCCTCTCTGATCAGAGGCACCTCAGGGCTTTTCCAGTTATTTCCTGGCTCCTGCTTTAACCTTACTGGGACCAGATCCTAGGAAAGGCACTGCATGTACCTCCTCTGAGGTCCAACTCACAAGATGTGGCAGCAGCAACATCCAGTTTTTACACGTCAACAAGATGGTTCCCAGGATTATTTCTGATTATTTTTTTTTTTAATCAAATGGTTACTTAATATATAACACTGTATATAGAGTGTTAGGAACAAACGCCCCCTTCCATGGAAGTTCCCTTGTGCTTGATTTGGAGATTCTCACTCTTGACTGTTCTTCCTCTGAAAAATGAAACATTCTTTCTTTTCTTGCAGACTTGCTCATTTTCTTAGAACTAAGTTGTTATAGTCAAATGACCAGATATATTTTTAAAATATAGTAGAAATTTATTAAAAGCAAAGAAGCAAAACAGCGCGCTGGGAGACCTGGGGAAACTCCTGTTCCACCAACAGTCTGCGCGCCAAAAAACGTGCACTGGTCTTTTATATGTGCCATTATTCCCTCCCTTGTAGGTGGTGCTTAGATGACAGCGGCGGGTCCCAGATGAGGGCGGGAAGACAGCAGACTTCTCTCCCCCCACCCCCGTTCCTCTGGATGACTTTTCCCTACCCACATTTTACAGGCACACCCAAACTTACATTCAGAACTTGTTCAACACAAGAAGATATAGCTTGCCATAGTAATACAACATTGAGGATTGACACTTGTAATTCAAACTAATCACTAACATTACAAATTTAATTTGATTAGCAAATTATTCACCTTTGCTTTCATTAACTATTACATAAATGGATGACAACTTTATCACAATGAGAATTGTTCAAAGGGAAGTATTTCCTTTAAAATGATGAAGAGTTTCTTCCTGATAAAAAGGTACTCCCAGAAAGAACCCCAGCTTGCCTGGATCACAGAGCAGTGGCACTGCAGTAATGTGCTACTGATTCTGTAGGACTTAGTGTGATTTGAGAGGACTTAAAAGCAAGGTATAAAGCTTCTGTCAGATGTTAGGAAATCTCTGTGCCAGAAATCTTCTGGGAATGTAGTACAGCATCTTTAGTCAAGTCTTACCATGAATCTTCCAGGCAAGGAGGGGTCATAATACCTTGTCAGTTATCCATCCAGAAGTTCCTTCCCATAGCAATGGAGCCCTAGGACACCCTTTTTGAACCTCTTCTAGAGAAACAGATCCTGAAGGAGTCAGAGGGTGGAGAAGGAGAAAAAGGAGCTGAAAATCCTTCATGAAACGTTTTCCTGCAGAGGCATACCCAGATGTGAGCTTAATGAATTCATACGGCAGACTGTCTCTCGGTTTATTGTGAGCTGTATGTTTGTTTCCTCTGCAAAGACACATGCTGGCAACTGATATAACAGACACACTCACTCAGAAAGTCTGCCAAGGTCCCTGGATGGCCCTTGTTACCTGCTTACCCTGCAAAAAGCAAGGTTCTGAGGGGGTCCTGCATGGAAGTTTTTATGTGACAGCAGGAGGAGGTGCTTTCCTCTTTGTCTATGGTTGTATGAAGCAGGAAAAGCCAGAATGGTTTCAAAGCAGACCACCCACAGGGGTGGTGGGTTCCACTCTGCATTGTGGTGATCTGGGTGGCAGCTCTGCATCATCTCTTTCAGCATATTTTGTACTACTACATGCACAAAAACATGGTCCCACGCTCCACAAGGCTGACCCTGACAACCGCAGAGCAGTTGACAGAGTTAAGGTTTAAAAATAAATGATGCTTCCACAGGAAAATTCTCATGGGGCAGAGAAAGGAATATAATTCTTGTGATCTCCTGTGAATTTTGGTGAATTCTTCAAATCTACTGTCCATACAAGAAGCCTGAAAGAAATATGGGAGGAAAATAATATCCCATATTCTTTTTTTTTGGTCCAGGAAAATATGGAATATCTGAAAACTGAAGTTCACTCTAAGAGAACAAAAGATTATGCTTACTTTTAAGTAGAAACTCTTACAAGAAAAACAACAAATCCCTCTCCCCAAAAAACAAATAAACAAAACAACATACACAAAACCAAACATACCTCAAAACCAACCAAACAAAATAAAACAAAACAAACAAACAAACACCCTACATTTTTTAATCAGCCTATCTGACTGACATTCTAAAACTGACTTCGTTTTTCTCATGGGAAAGGAAAACAGGGACCTTCTTGCTTTAGTTAGATATATTCTCCTCAAATTAAAAAGCAGCTATACCAAGGACAGCTTTAGGATGTGGAAACAAATATAACTCCTAGGGCAAAAATACCTAGATAGGAGTTCAGAAGTCAAGCAGCATGTTACTGACTACAACTCTCCCATCGCATAGTCAGTTTATTTTCCAAAGAAAGTACACCACTGGCACTCATATAATCCACTACATTTTACAGCTGTAAGGGATTAAGGTATTTGGCTGAGCATCACAAATTGTAATCAGTATTCAGATTCATTGATAGAAGTTGTGTTAATTGCAGTTAAAAAGTCAGATTACTGGCAACCAAAAATAGAGTAGAAGAGATAGGCACTAGCAGATTTTAGGTCTGACTTTGCAAAGGTGTGGGAATATCCTGTGGTACACCTTTAGAATGTTAATGTTCTACTGAGAAGATTTCAAAAAGGCTGTGAGGTAGCTGCTGTACTCAGCCAAGGGGAATCTTCTGCAGAGGTGCTGTGGCAGAGCTGAAATTATAGCCTTGCTTTAAAAAAAAGACACTATTGTAAGTGAATTACGTCTTACACACAAATAGAATTTCCAATCAAGTTTGTGGGCAGGGGTTTTTGTGTAAAATTCTAGGCCTTAAAATACAGATTTTGAAACTGTGTGTTCACCATTTTCTTCAGCAGTCCCTAATCCTTTATGTTTAGAAATACAAGGAAAGTGCAGAAGAATGGAAACTAAAGATACCTATAACTACCTGTAACTGCTGCAGTGGGAAATGGGTCAAGTTCCCTCTCAACTAGATGAAGATATTTGTTTCACAGAAAGTGTTTAATTTTCTTCATGTATTTAATAAAGCTAAAACCTTTGTATTGCATATGCCTGGCTGTCTATTATGTCCTATATAGCAAGAATACGGACATTAGGATTAAAAGTAACAATAATTGAATTAACTGACTATATTGTTCTGTATTCCCTGTTGATTTTATGGAATGTATATTGTAGTTCATTTTTTAGTGATGCCAGAAAGAGTAGCATAAAATCCATTCCTTGTAATTTTGAGCTCAAAGAAGGATTTATGACTAGTAAGATAACAAGTTTTCAAGTTGCTGATTCATCAGCCTATAAGGATATTAGCCATGTTACTGGCTTTAAAAGCTTTAGTATTTTTGGTTATCTTATTACTACTATGCATTTAAGACATTTGCTGTGCATTAGTAAAACTGAGGTCCATGGTATTGGGAAGGGTCTACCAAAAAAAGAGAACAGCTCCCTTTCTAGCATTGTTTTATTGTTAAAATTAACCCCATCCTTAACTTGCTTTCACACTGTCAACAACAGAACAGCACACAAAGCTCTTTTTCACACAAAGATCTGTCTTTAAAAGCTTTTCAGAGAGGAAGAGGATATGTGTCTGCAGGAGAAGGGCAATGTCTGCTTGATATCGAATTTATAAGAAGAAAAGGATCAAACATAGGTGAAAAGGGCACCATTAGTATATCCATGTAGACTGTGCAGCAACCAACAGTCCAGGATATCGTATGGAGGAATATAATATACAGTTGGGCACAAGAGAAGGGCACCTGTAATTTAATTTGTTAGCCTGGTACTTTCTGTAATCAAGTTTTGTTTATTTGAGGTAGGCTTAAAATGTCAGTCACAGCAACTGAGATGTGACTGAATGGAAACATCTTTGCTCAAATAGTTTGTGTACAGATGTTTGAGCTTGAAGAAACTTGCCGTGTGTTTTTGTAGCTAAGGAAGTGAGTAATCAGTGAAACTAGTATGGGTGGTATAGGAAAATCATGTGCATAGTCTTGGCACAGCTGTGTGCTTGCCACATTCCATGAGATATTTCATAATGGAAAACCAATTTCTCCACTAATATAGGATACCTGCATTATCAGGCATATGTTGTGAAGCACCCAGTAAAGTCACAGGATCATACAGATTAGGCCACTAAATTGAGTCAACAAGAAGGGCAAAAGAAAGTCCTTAAGTGTAGACTTAAAAAGAGAATCTCTTGGTTGATGTGTTTACATGACTTGATGCATTTTTTGCTTAATTTTAATTTTTATCAATCAAATCTTAAAAGGCAAAAAATGTAAGTGAGCAAGATGGTGAGTAAGTCAGCAGAATTGGATAGCTTGCTGCAGTAGCAGGAAATTTGGCCATGTGTCTAATTAGCAAGAATTGCAGGCCCCTGTGCTTTCTGCTGGTCTACTTCGAACTTGCTGGTTTCAGAGCCTTTTCTATTTGTTGTTATGGAATTTACACAGGTCACTGTGCAGTGTAAAGATCTGTCAAGAATAGCAATAAATAGGTGCTGCCACTCTATGTGGTGCTTGTTTAACATTAACATTGTTAATGTTTTTGATTAAAATATTTGTTTTGAATCCATGTACACATATATTGTATATGTCACAGTTCAGTCTCAGTGATTTCCTGAGTTAGCAGTTCCTCACCAGTGTTAATCTGTGTACTCCTGATTATATGGGAGGAGTCTGATGGTCAGCTCCAGAGCTTGTGTGTCTCAGAGTATTTGTGCTTTGTTGCAGCAACGTGGGTGGGATGATGCACCAGTACAAATAGGTATTATCCCCCTCAGATGTTTAGTCTGATCCCAAGAGGAAAATTACTAACTTGCATTTGCTGAGTCATTACCTACATGCATTTTTTTAAAACCGAGTTTCTTCAAAACTGGAAAGATACTGTGCACTGAATCCTTTGTCTATTCTAAGTGTCGCCATTTAAAACAAGCATATCAAAAGCTGATCTTTCCTGGCAGTCACAGATTTTCCATGTGCATTTTTCTCCTATGCCGGCTAACTGTGTTCAGATAATGCCCAGAAAAAGGTCAGGAAAACCTTTCCTAGAACACTGATCTGTTAAAGCAAGCATAGTTATTGTCATGTGACTGCAGCTTTAGGAAAGACTGTCAGCTGTGTATAAATATGTGCATAGCTGAGGGAATATGCTTAAATAACATTAAAGACTATGACATAATGTGTGTGCTGAAAAGCTTTCTGCAGTCAGAATAGCACAGGTCTTTAGGAATGGGGCACCACTACTTTTGGCCTGCACTGTAACATCACTGCCACAGTTGGGACACTGCCTCACTTTATCTGTTACTTTTTTTTTTTTTTTAATAACAATATTATTTATCACCAGATTTAATTGTTTTCTTCACCATCTTCCACCCCATCAAAAAAAAAAAAAAAAAAAAAAGAAAAAAAGCTTTATGAAAACAGTTATTCCTAAAGTTTTAGCTTTTTCTATTAGTCAGCCCTCTGCGTTTATCAGCTGATAGCTGAGACACTCTTTTCAGAGAGTGGAAGATTTTTGATCTTTCTATTCTTTCGAGCATAAATTAAATCAGGCAATAGTAGCCATGCAGTCACAATATATTTGTTGCTTTAATGCTTTCTCTATTTTGTTTAAGGTACAGTTTTTAGATAAATCTTGGCAATATTCTGATATGACTATGCTTTCTTAATCCACTTATACATATTAACTGTTTTTACTGAGGCATGCTAATAAAAACCTAGACCAGTGACAGAGTGGTTATAATCCTGTGAAAGTTTCACCTGTGTGTACTGTTTGCTGGATTGTGTTCTATTTATTTTCCTTCCTCTTGCCGTTAGCACAACATTCAGCTGAAACAGAGCTGTCCTTCGACCAGTTTTGAAGCCTTTTTTATCTGGGGACACTTGACAGGTAATTTCAGAGGTGCCAGTGACCATGCCTAAGATGTAGCATCCCAGCAGTGACTCCTTCCCACTGGAAGGAAAATCCAGTGTGTAAGGGAGGAGGAAGCGGTGGTAGGCAGACACCCAGACGGACAGTCAAGGGGCAGACATGCCAGCACAGCACATGCTCTGCTGTCTAGAAACAGCCAAGTTAAATCCCAAATCCTGGCAATTCTCTTGATGTGGCAGAGCTAGTGACATAAAAAAATATTTTCTTGCTAACTGCATTTGTAAGCCTGATTCTGATTTTAAGTAAATAGAGGAAACATTTGACCTTGAACTGAATTACTACTTGATTCTCTCCAGACTACCTTCCTAAATCTTCTCTTGTTTCAAACACAAATTATTCATGCCTTTCCTTACAGGCATTGAATGGTTGCTGCCTTCCATCATGGGGACACATGGATTTTGCTCTGTCTTGGTCTATCCCACATGAAAACGTTTTTGGTCATTGTGTATAGAGCCATAGCTACATTTGTTTTTCAAACTCCTCTCCCCCAGCTTAGAGTAGCATCAACTGCAGCTCATCTGTCCTGCAACAAGGCATGCAATTTGCCACTTCTTCGTGCCACTCACTTCAGTAGTGTGATTAAACCCCTCATTTCCCTCCCTGCAGGAAAGAAATGTTCTATCTCAGTCCAAAGGACTGGAAGGTAGGGAGAGGTTACTGCCAGCTCAGAGTCTAGGGACATGTATCAGTGTCTGGTTTCTGCACTGCCAACAGAGTGGGCCAGGATGTCTATAACAAGTCTCTCATATATGACACAGAACAAGCAGACCTGCTGTTCTTTTCGAACTCATTTTTCTCCATTAGGAGAAAGTTGTCCTGAAGTAAATAAACAAAAGGGCTCTTTACAGTGAACATTGCTTCCCCCTTGCCCTATAGAGAGCAAAGTGCATCCAAATGGCTTCTGCTCTAACCTCAGTAAACTGACGATTAAAAGAGTCAGCTGGGGGAGGACTATTCGTTTCAGCTTCCCTAAATGATTGATGGAGACATACTGCCTCTTTGCTGCACTTTGGAAACAGACACCAAATTCTATCATGACCCTGGAACAGAAAACAACATTTGCCTTTGTGATTTTGCTATTTATTTTCTTGGGAATCCTGATTTTTGCTACTTTTGAATTCTCCTTGACCCCTACCAGAGTATGCCAGCCTCAGCCTGGGCTGATGGACTTGATGGTCTGGAGACAGGACAGTTTGACTGTGCTCTTGCTTAGAGACTGAGAATTATGGAGACTTATTTAGCACTCTGATAAAGAAATACTCCAGAATTTTTAGTTTCTGGTTTACATTTTTTCAAAAATTGTAGGAGTTGCAATATACAAATATGGACACAATAAATTTGATTGTAATTAAATACCAAAGAAAATTAAATTATCGAAAGTAGATTAGTGAATCTCCTCACTGTGAAAAAACCTAAGGTTTGCATGAGCAGAATTTTTTTTTCAGAAAGCATTGAAACAATATGTGGTGTATGTGATCTCTTGTGACAAGCTAAGAGATACTAGAGCATATCATCTCTTGCACAGGCTTTTTATCATTAACAAGAGTTTGTAGGGGAAAGTATAAATTGGCTTTTCAAGCTCCCCAAGGTTCTTACTTTGTATCCCGCACTCTGAAAACAAGTGAGGAAGTGTCCCATTCCATAAGATAAGACCAAAAGAGCTAGGAAACTTTAGAAGAAAAAAAAAATTCACCCACGTTTTCCCAGGTATTCAGTAAGATACTCTTTCTTAGCATTATGCAGTGATTAAACTGCTTAATATTAACACATCTGTGACTGTAATCTTTGTTGGCAATAAGATATGTAATTATTTTGGCCTATCTATGTCTTTTTCTGAAAAAAACTGATTTCTACTCAGGCTTTTGCTTTGTTCCTACAGCACCATATGCAAATGATCTCAATCTTGCATGTATTTCAAACCCTATGTTTCCAGCATTCACTCAGTCTGTTTATTTGGTGGGTCAAATTGTCACCCTAATGAGGTGACTGAAACATTGGTGCCAAGAATCAACAAATAACCGCCACCCTCTTTATCCATAAATGTCTTTGAATGGATTTGTACAGCAGAAACCCATTCCTGGAAGTCAGTGTAAACAAACAAACAAACATTAATTGATCAGGGAAAGAAAGATTTACAAGACTGCCTAAAATTTAGTGGAACTACTTAGAGGTTAAGTGGATGTTTGCAAGCATTGTATAGCAGAATTGAAATATTACAGTGGTTAACAACACCTCATGTACTGTCAGGAGGGAAAAGGCCACGCTCCTGAACAGATGAGTCTTCAAAAAGGTCCTGGTGTTGCCAGACTTCTTCAACATCATGGAGTGGGGACAGGGAGATGCATGCTGCATCTTTTCACACAAAGCTTTAGATTTAGCTATTTCACTCGTACTCTAATAATGACAAGCATTTGGGAAGTTTTCCTTCATGCTTTGCCTTGCAGTCTGTAAAAGAAGAAGCAAAGCGAGCCCCGTAGCTGGTACAGCTGGGGCTGTGCTGACTCATCCAAGCTGAGGCTCTGGCCCCAGCCGTGGCACTTAGAGTTACTTATTTCCCTTTGCTGCTTGTCCCGCCCATCCCTTAAAGGTTGCAGATATTTGTAGGAGAGGCAGGGAAAGGAGGGATAGCTCTGCACACCGGCTATCACAGTTCACAGGAAGGCAACCACACCTCCTAATACAGCTCCCTGATGAGTTCACAGGGAGAAGCTGGTCTGTGATCTGTCACTGCTGAAATATGAGCACAGCTTGTTGCAGGGATGATAAGGTAACCTGGGCAGAGGGGGACAAGAACACAACTATGTATTCCACAAGCCATGAGGTACTGACATTAGCTACGTATCTATCAGTTGCAGGGCACCTAGATCATAACAAACTCAAACTTTCAGATGATTTCACAAAGGCAACGACAGTGTGGCATACAAGAAATCTCCCTATTGGTGCACCGATGCTGCCCAAAGCCATATGTTGTGAATATTTAGGAGCAGTAACAGCATTTCTCCCACTTGCCTGGGATTTCCTCTCCTGCGTCAGGTTCTATTTGTTTGGAGACCCTATACATTTTATTTTAAAAGAGAAAGACTTCTCCTCAGAGGGAGGTCATGACTCCGATCAAGGGAATGTAGAACAGTGTTCAAGTGACGCAACTGGATTCTTGTGTGAGGTTTGGAAGTCACTAACTGAGGACTATTTTGGAGTCTTGACTGGCCAGTATCTCTGGCATGTTTGGAAGCGTTCCAAGGAGGTATTTTTGTAAGCCACTGGGATAAGGCAGTCAATTAAGGGTAATTTAATACCGCTGGGCAGTCACTTTAAGTCAGCGTGTCTGTGGATATTGCTAAACGGACCATAGCAAAAACAGGGCATTCATACACATTCCCCCAGCGCAGCAGAGTTTCCCCTTCACACACTCAAAGTTTAAGAGAAGGTTTCTGAAGACATGATGGCAACTCAGTTTTGTGATATCTCACTTTTTCTTTTCTCCTCTTGAGAAACCAGACCAGACTTTGAATGGGAATATTACTATTCTAGTCCTCAAAGGAAGCCCTGGCACATCACTTTGCCTCACAAGAATATATATTCACTGTGGAAAGACTGAAATATTAATGAGACTGGAAAGGAAGGGTCTGCGTGCTAATGCAGTTGTGCTCAGGCAACTCTGCATCTCTCTGGTATATAGGCTTTTGTTTATTCCATCAGTTTCTGTTGAACATCCTGTGCAATCTTTAAAAATGCTTTTTAAAATTGATATTTCTTTATATAATTTAAGCACATATAGTCATATATACTGTAGAATATATGCAGAGGAGAGAAATATGTGCAGTTTTTTGCATTTTAATTTTTTTAAATACCATATTTATGTTAGTTTCTTCAATCTCAGTCCAAGGAGTTTAAGTCAGAGGTTTACTGCAGTGAGATAATGCCAAATAAGGACAGGATAAAACTCTTTACTGGTAGAGAGTAAAGCTGTTTTACTCCAGTGAGGATTTCAAGACTTTTATATGCATGACCTTTAAATGAAAGTGCTGGACTAACAGCATGGAGCTGAGAGGGGAATTCTGTTCTCAGTGGTGTCTGGGGGGAGTGTGTTTGTGTCAGAACAGTCCTTGATACTGCTTCTCCACTGCAGTCAGTGTTGTCCCGAATATGAGTTCTATCCAGACTGCAAGAAAATAGACAGACAGACAGACAGACAGACAGACGGATAGATAGATAGATAAGATAGATAGATAGATAAGATAGATAGATAGATAGATAGATAGATAGATAGATAGATAGATAGATAGATAGATAGATAGATAGATAGATTGATTGATTTATTCCCTGTCTGCTCAGAGGTGGGTTCTGGGTGGTAAGTTCACCCTCTCTGTATGCCAAATACCCAATTTTACAACCTTCAAACAGTGACAAATCAACACCTCCCCTGTAGGAAACAATCTGAAACTACATTCATTGGCTAAATGCTTACTCACCTTCATTTAAAGACACAGTACCCCTTGATTTTACCATGTATTATCCATGGGGTTACGTGAGTAGTGGTCAGTGAAAGATAACCTTATCAGCTTTTACCACACAATCCCCCAGAGGAAGGCCTGGAGGTACCTGGTGTGTGGCTTCAGGGCCTGTGAGCCCATTAGGATCCATACAGAAGGATTTTCCAGGTTTGGAGCTCTACACAGAAGTATTAGACCTACAGATATGAGTTGTGATCTCATGGGATAATTTCAAGAAGTATAAATAAGGAATTGCAACTTCTGATCTGTAGACTGTTTGGTAGAAGTTTATGTTCAATTTGACTTAAAGATCAACAAACTTGCCCATGTCAGTTACACAGCCCATAGACCCCATGAAATGCAGGGAAGAAGATGAAAACCTGTGATTTACAGGACGACTGGGACTGTGGCCATGACCTGAATTTTTTCTAACAAAGAATCTCTTTTTTTTTTTTTTTTTTCATCCTGGTTTATTTATATGTGCTTAGTCTGTAAAACACAGAAAATAAAACTATTGGTTTTCCACCCTGCATTCAGTGCTTCTGGAGTTCTGCTTGGACACTTGTTTTGGACACTTTTAGTAGATAAATTTGGTGTCATTTCTGCAGCACTAACATGTGAAGCTGCCGTGGCTCCTGTTCTTTTGACAGCATCATCAATCAGCAGCCAACACTCCACTTTTTGTTTTTTCCCCTCTTGGCACACTAACAAACAATCCTCATCATGCTCTGCATTGTTATCTTCATGATCTAGAAGGAACAGCATGGAGTGGAGGCACTTTTTCAAGGCAGCAGAGATAAAAAGACGTATTATCAGTGCTAAAGCAGGACCAATGAAATGTAGGCTTCTCTCCCATGCTGAAGTGGCTCCGTGCTAGTAGGGCAGCAAAAATGCATCCTTCACTTCTGTCACAATTGTAAAACCCAGTAAGTCCTATCACATTTCTTTCTGCCTTGCATGAGTTATGCTTTTTACTGTGGGAGGACCAGTAGCACAGCATCTGCAACCAACCTGCTGTTTCAACCTGCAAGATCTCCAAGGGAACTGTGGGATTTGGTACAGTGCTGCTGTCCCAGCCACCTAATACCCATTGCCTGAACTAGACTGTAGTTCCACTCCTGGATTTCATTTTGAGTGAGATTCTCTACTTTTACCCGCACTGGTTTAAAATCTTACCTTGCCTCTTAGAATGGCTATTAGAGGTTTAAGTACATAGAAGTGATACTGAGAATGCATCTAAGCAGGCAGTGGCTTTACACACAATGAAAACACGGCCAAAGGAGAAGTCAGATTTTTTACTGTCTAATGAGGAATAAAAAATGAAGGAAATAGCTAGGAAAAAATTACATAGGCTAGAGTTAGGGATTACATCTTAGAATCACGGTATTATAGAATAGTTTTGGGTGGAAGGGACCTTAAACACCATCTCGTTCCACCCCCTACCATGGGCAGGGACACCTTGCACTAGACCACATCTCTCCAAGCCCTGTCCAACCTGGCCTTGAACACTTCCAGGGATGGGGCAGCCACAGCTTCTCTGGGCAACCTGAACCAGGGCCTTACCACCCTCACAGGGAAGGATCAACCCTCTTTCAGCTTAAAGCCATTCCATCTTGTCTTATCACTGCTTGTCCTTGTAAAACGTCCTTCTCAAGCTTTCCTGCAAAACTCCTTTAGGCACTGGAGGGGGCTCTCAGGTCTCCCTGGAGCCTTGCCCAGG